GGAGGAAGCGAGCGAAGATTCCCATGAACCGTGCGCACTGAAAGAGTAGAGGCACGTCTGATGTCTGAGTGCCTCGTACGGCGCCGAGCACGGGGTAGGTGCTGAGCCCCTGGGATGTGCTGGACCCTATGCCATCGGACTGCAGAGAGCCCTGCAGGGTTTGAGCTGTAATTGGGCAGAAGGTATGCAGGACTCCCCTGGGGCCTTTGATTCCGTGGCTTCTGCCGCAGGCTTGGAAAGTCAGATACTTCCTAGTCGATATCACAGACTCCAGCTGACAGCCCCACAAGGGCTTTTCTTCCACCTTTTTGCTTTACAGATCTTTCAGCCAACAGAAAGTTGTAAGAATAGTGCAATGAACGTGCATCTACCCTTCGGCTGGATTCAACACTTTGGTTTCGTCTCTCTCAGTACGAGTGTGTATTGGAGACACATGGCATTTTACCTCTAATCCAGGCATCTCTAAGAACAAGAGCAGTCGCCTATATAGCCACAGTGTAATGCTGACCCTCAAAAAGCTGCACGTGGTAAATCCCGTTAGCTGACATACCGTGCTCACTTCATTTCCCTGCTTGTCCCAGTAGTGTTCTGTGCAGCTTTCTGCTTTGATCCAGGAGCCAACCAAGAATCAACCAAAGCATTCTGGGTCCTTGTCATGCCTCTTTAACCTTGAGCAGTTCCCCTGCTTGTTTTTTGTTACCCGTGATGCTAGCAATTTTTTAAAGAATCCAGGCCGGTTGTTTTGCTGAATGCCCCTCAATCTGGGTTGCCATGCTTCCGCGTGACGAGATTCAGGGCATGCACTTCTGGCGGGAACAGCAGAGTGGAATGCTGTGTCCTTCTCCGAGTAGCCAACGGGGAGCATCATGTCCGGTTTCCCACTGTTGCTGCTCTTATTTTTGATCCCACAAGTTGTCACGGAGGAGAGAGTTTTTCAAGACCTGCACCCTTTTCCCTCACTCCACAGGCCACTCGCGTGGACATTTCCCTGGAGTGTGGGAGGCAGCACTGTCTGTGGCTTTGAGGGACTGCAGGGGCGGCATGGCCAGAGCTGCTTCCCAGGGCCCCGAACCCCTGCCCTGAGCCCTACGGTTCCGGGAAGCGCATGGGCCTCGCTCCTGGGCCAACTTTTCAGGGAGCACCAGAGGGGAATGTCATTATCCACCATCACGGAAGCAACCCACTTATATTTGTGACACTTTTTGGTTTACAAAGAACTCCCATTCATTTCTAGTTGCAAACAATAAGCTACCGCTTCGTCAAGTACCTGCTACCGGGCTCTGTGTTAAAAGCATCACATGCATTAGGGTCATTTTAGGTACTACTGTCACCCTCATTGTATGGATGGGGAAGCAGGGGCCCAAGAGGTTAGGCAGCTTGCCTGAAGGGGCAGGACTGGGACTCAAGCCCTGACCCCTTTGCACCTCTGGGCCAAGGTGCTAAGCACCGTGCTGCATGGTCTCCTCCGAGCATCACAGCAAACCAGGGGGCTGAGCAGCAGACGGGCAGTGCCCACTTACACGCAGAGGAAACAGGCCCAGAGAGGTGGTGTGTTTGGGCCAGATTTGTGGAACTGGGACCATCCCCAACAACTTCTGACTCCCAGCCTGCTGCTCTTGCCACCTCAGGCTGCTTGTGGGACCAAGGCCAAAGATGCCAAGGGTGCTGATGGTCTTCTGCCAAGAGGGATGGGCAGAGGGAAGGGTGACAGCAGTGACTGTCCCTGCACCACACCCCCTAAGATAGCCACACCAGAGCACGCAGACCCCACCTTGCCTTGAAGAAAAACAGTCTGAACCACCTTTTGTCCCCCACGACATCCCCCCTCACCACATCCCCCCCATATGCCAGCGTGGCTCCCACACCCTGCCTCTCCCTGGCTGGGGAGAGAAACATCCTGTCCTGGCCACCAGTCATCCCTGCTAGTCAAGGCACACATATCTTAGGAGGAAGTGGCTAATTCCCCAGGAAAACCCCTGCCTGGCCCGATGGACTCGAGCAGCGGGTTTCTTGAACCCTGGTTTCCGAGGACAAGTCAAGAGTTCCTGCCTGTGGATTGTCAGCTAAAGTGCCAGGTGGGGCTGGGACTGGGGAGGGGCCTGGGATCATCTGGTGGCGGGTGCATGAGACAAGAAAAACCAAAGGGCAGAGGAGGCGGGTCAACCTGTTACCCGCCCTGCAAAGCCTGGATCGAAGTTCACCTCTTCATGAAGCCCACCTGTTCACCCAGGGCCCACCGAGCTCTCCTCAACTATACAGGAGAGGGCTCCTTCTGCTTTAGCCACTGGGGGCAAACTTGTGCCTCCTCTTCTATAGGGCAAACCTGGGGGCACCTTTGTACAGCTATTTGGGCCTAATACTGAGCTGGGTATGCAGTGGGTGCTCAGCACGTGTTTTGATTAGTGGAATAAATTGAAGGGATTCATTCATTCACCCATTCATTCATTGGGGAAAAAAGTTATTGAGCAATGATCTCAAGCTAGGCTCTCTCTAGATGCCCTTGACATTCGAGAGTAGGGAGAAGGCCACAGGCAGAAACAGAAGCACGGACTGCAGGCCAGGGAAGCCCTGGGAAGGGCAAGGGAATGGACGCATGACTCGGAGACTGGGGAGGGGGGAGGGTGGGGAGAGAGATCTCCACTCCCTGCCATCCCATCAGCCCTGACCCCTGGCCCCAGCCCCCTTCACCCCACAAGGACAGGCACTCTGCAGAGCTTCCGGGCCTCCCCGACACAGGTGGCTTGCTGGCCTGGCCTTATGTGAGCCACAGACAAAATGTTCTGGGAGAGGCCGTTTTTCCTAGGCTTCCGGAATAGTAGCCATTTTTTCTCCAGAAATAAAATGTCTGGCCACTCCAGGTCAGAAACTGAGAGGTTGGACTACCACTAAGACCAGGGCAGCCAAGGAAGGGGACAGCTGCCTGGGGCGTTCAGAAAAGGGCGGAAGCATCACCCTGCTGTGGGGCTCGGGGCACCATCTCCAAGCCAGGGCCCGGCTGGGGGCAGAGGAATCCATTTTCCCTGCCTCCGCGTGGCCTTCCTTTGCCACCCTGTGTGCCTGGTACTCCTGGCCCTCTCTCCCGCTTTCCTCCCCCTGTCCCTGCCGCATACATACTCTGTGCTCTACTTACCCCGTGTTTTCACTTTTTGTCAGCCTTCCCCATCCCCCTAGAGTGCCAGCCCCACGAGGACAGGGATTGTTGCCTCTTTTGTTCACTGCCATATCCCAGCTCCCAGAACAGTGCCTGGAACACACACTAGGTGCTCAAAGAATATTATTCACCCCTTCTTCCGTCCTTCCAGAACACTCCCAAGTTCCTGCTCTGTGCTTCACACTGTGCTGTTGGCAGGGGAGAGACTTATAAATAAATCATTAGCCCTTAAAGGAATTCACGTCCCCCCGTGGGAACGGATGACTCCAGAGGGCTGTGTGTCCCGCACCCACCTCATCCCAAAGGTTCCCTGCCCTACCCCGCCCCTCTGCTTGGACCTGGAGTAACTGGGCCTGTAGAACCTGCACAGCTGATGTTTGCAGCTGGCTGTGGTCTCACCTCCTTCTCGAATATTGTGCAGGGGGCACGAGGTGAGGGACCCGCAGTCTGAGGGGTGCTGTCACACAGGAGACAGGGACTGTCCGTGATGTGGCCAGGAGGGTGCTACGGGTGGAAGAGAGGGTAGGTGCGGAGAGGAGGAGGGGCTGCCTGGGAGGGGAGGCTGAGGAGGCAGAGGATGGGAGCCTGCCGGCCCCACACAGGGTGCAGACGGAGTGGGTATGGGTGATGTCACTCCAGGGTTGAGGGTGAGGCCCTTCCTGGGTGACTTAGGTCCTGGGCAGGGCTGGAGACAGCAGAGAAGGGATGCCACTCAGCTTGTCCAACCAGAGAGAAAACTGCATGTGGGTGGGAAAAAGCATCAGAGGGGCAGGCTCCCCGGGCAGGGGGCACCTGCAGCCGGAAGCAGCTTGGAGATGACCCATTCACATCCCTCATTCTACAAGTGAGGCCTCAAGCCCAGAGCGACTAAGAATTTGGCCAAGGTCACTCAGTGGGGGAGGCAGACACTGGACCCAGCCTTTAGGCAGCCGTCTTGCCACCATTCCACGCTTGCCTGCGCAGTTTCCTCAAACTTGTCACCTTTCTCTGGAGACTCTCAAGTGACACATACTTTTCTGTTGTTCCAGGCACTAGGGGGAAAATGAACAGGTGCTGAGTGCATGCCCCACGCCAGGCAGGCACTGCGCTGGGCTGAGTTAAACTGTTCCTGCCATCTTTTATACATGTTTTTTCTTCTTAATACCCTTTTATTTTGGAATAATTTTCTATTTACAGAAAAGGGGCAAAGAAGGTAGAGCCCCCGTATACCTCTCGCCCAGTCTGCCCTGCTGTTGGCATCCTACATAACCATGGTACGTTTGTCCCAATCAAGAATCCAACGTGGGAGCATCACTGTTAACTAAACTTCAGACTTTATTTGGATTTTACCAGTTTTTCCATTAACGTCCTCTTTCTGTTCTAGGGCCACTCTGGGGTACCGCGTGGCCTTGAGTTGTTACGTGGTCCCACGTCCCCAGGCTTCTCTGGTCTGTGACAGTTTCTCACTTTCCTTGTTTTCCATGTACCCTGTATGAACTTTGTAATCAGAAAAAGAAAAGACAGATCACGCTGATTTATGTCGGGGACTCCTTCATTCTGGTCTCAGCGGGGGGCCAGTGATGCCCCCCTTCTTTCTCTGTTCCCCAGAACAAAAGGGGAAAGGCCCAGTGTCACCCTAATGCCTGCCCACTGCCCTTTCGGCCCCTGCTCCTGCGGCTGTCCCGCAGCTCAACCCAGGGAGCTTGGGGGGGCCTGGGCCGTGCTGGGCCGCCAGGTGCGAGCCCCGGCCCTGCGGGTGTCCCCGTCGGTTGGCGGAGCGCGGGCGGCACCGGGTCAGCTGTTCCGCCCCGCCCCGCCCCCTGCCCGGGGCTCATAAGCGTCCGGGTCCGCCTGGCAGCGCCCAAACCGCCGCCTCCCGCCAGGCACCAGCATGGCCTGGAACAGCAACCTCCGCTGGCGGCTGCCGCTCGCCTGCCTGCTCCTGCAGGTGGCCATGGTGGTGCTCTTCGGCGTGTTCGTGCGCTACGACCCCGACGCCGACGCCCACTGGTGGACAGAGAAGACTCGCAGGAACATCTCCAGCGACCTGGAGAACGAGTTCTACTACCGCTACCCGAGTAAGTCCCGCCTCCTGCAGGCCCGCGGCACCGGTGCCAGTCGCGCCTGGCCACGGGACGGTCCGCGCAGGCTCCCCATGGGGCGCCCACCACCCCCAGATGTGCAGACTCCTTTTCCCTGTGAAAAACGAGCAGAGAAAACTCACCAGGCAGAGCTTTTTATTTGACCACCTCCCCGCCGTCAGAGAGCCCTGCTCGGCTCCCTCAAAGACCCGCATCCCACCTCCAGCGCCCACCAGTGGGGTGCCCTGGCTCCCTTGTCCAGCTGTGCCCGTACTCCAAATAAGGACGTGGGTCCCATGTCAAGGGCCACAGGGATGGCTCGGTGAGGCCATCGCATGTGGGACCAGCGGTGGGTCAGGAGGCAGTGACACCCATCTTCTTTTGGCTTGGAAAGGGGGAAAAGCACCCCTGAATTTTCTGGTACCTGGGGTGCTGTGGTTAGGAGCATGACCCTGAAACCGGGGACCTTCTTTCTATCATGGCTCTGCCATTAACTAGGTGGGTGGCCTTAGGCAAATGTCAACATTGCTAAACCTTGATTTCCTCATCTATCAAATCGGGGTAGCAGTGGGGCCTCCCTCGCAGGGGTGGGGTGAGGCTGTGGTGTGCAAGGCGCCAGCAGAGTGCTGGGACACAGTCCTCACTCCACGATGGCGCGACTCCCGCAAGACCACTAAACACGGACGCCCTGGCATGTGGGAGCTGGGAGAACTGGCCCAAGGTCACTCTAAGCGTCCCAACCTCAGGACTCCCAGCCCGGGACTCTTTCCATGCCCTGGTGCTCTCTGATCTTCCCCCCCACCCACCAGCAGCCAGTGACAATTCTTCTAGCTGTTGGTGCTCACATAGTTAGAGACTATCAGTTTTGGAAGCGACCCTGAAGCTCATGCCCAACAGCCACCTTTTCAACTGCTGTCCCCTCCATGGCTGTACTCTCTCAGCCACAGGGGATCCTCTACCTCCAGAAATGACGTTTTCCTTGGGTGCGAGGAAATAACTGCACTCATTCAGAACGGCAGCTTGCAGGAAAACAGCCTGAGTTTGGCGGGCTGCAGGCTCAGTGGGAGACAGCTATATTAAGTAGCTGCCAAAAAGATAAGGCCATCACAGGCTACCCGAATAATTACATGGTGCCTAGAAGAAGGGAGGTGACAGAAGAGGGGTGTGCCCCATGCTGGTGAGACCACAGCCTCTCTGGGGTTGCACTTGGGCCATGTTATAAAAAAGATGTTGACAGCTGTGGCCCCTCTCTGGGGTTGCACTTGGGACTCAGGCTCCAAATGCACTGCACACTGCCCACCTTTCCTCTCCTTGGTGGGGGACCTACCTGCAAGTGGTGAGGCAGGCAGGCTGGGGACCCTCCTCTGCCTGTCCCACTGCGTCCCTCCAGCTCTTGCTACCACTTGGCCCCAGAGGCAGCCCCCAAGTAAAGTGTAAGGGGCCGGGCCCCCAGGGACATTCATAGGTCCTGGATGTGTCTGGGCAGTGGAGGGAGCTGCAGGCCCCACGTCTTCCCAGATCCTACCCCCTCCCTCCCACTCACCTACCCACCTTCATGTATTCACTCGACAAGCACTTATCTACCGCATGAACAAAGATCCAGGTGAGGATACCGAGTGAAGACACTTGTAAGAGTGGGGGGGGGTGCTAGTAGTAATTTGCCAGGCCCCGGGGGTAAACCACGACTGTCCCAGCAAGCCAGTGCTTACGGCCACTCTGGACAGATGCATATCCTGAGTCTCCGGTCCCAGACTGTTAGGAGCAGAGAGGTGCCTCAGTGGGGCCAAGTGTTCTGGGCGGGAGAGATCTGTGATGGCTTCCTCGGACGCGGTGGCTGGTGAGGAGGGGAGAAGCTGAGAGGCGGAGACCCACCAAAAGGGGGTGCTGGGAGGGGGGCGAGTGGCCAAGGTGGCCCAAGAGTGGAGTCTGTGAAAGGGGTTGTGGTGGCGGGTGCTAGGTGGGGAGACAGCCCCAGCTTCCAGCCATCAAGGAGGGCCTTGATTTTCTCCTGCCATGTCTCCTGTGAGCACTGGGGCGCTCTTGGCCTTGGAGCAGGAAATGGCAGAGGAAAGGTGTGTAGGGACAGAACCATGGCCTCAGTGCTCCTTGGAGAGGGCAGGAAGCAGTGGCAGCCCCTCCAAGCAAACGTGCATTCCCTCCTTTAACGATCACCACCACCCTGCAAGGGAAGCAAGGTTATGACCCCCATTTTACAGATGAGGAAACTAAGGCCAGAGAGAAGTGTCTTGTAAAGATCACCCTGCTAGGAAACAAGGGAGCCCGGATAGCAGCCCTGAGGGTCTGAGTCCACACTGCTGGACCATTCTCCTCCCTTCTATTCTCCCCGTCCCTGTCCCCTGCCCTGCTCACGGTGGCTGTGGTTAGCAGTTAGAGGGCACAAGGCATCCTGGCCCATGTGGGTCCTCATAGCTCTGTTCCGGGCAGCTAGGGGATTCCCAGGTCCCTGACGTGAGGGCCGGCCCTTGCTTGGTACCTTCCTGGTTCTTGGCTGCAGGCCATCGGCGCTGGCTCGGGCCTCATTTCTGCCCAGGGGATTAGTTGCGCCTGCTGGGCATCTTGAGTTTCCAGAGGAGCCCAGCTGGCTGGGCCTCAGGACACTCCCCGGGTATGGGCCCCTAGGCAGGCAGCAGGCACAGAGCCAGCTGGGCACTCGCCCTGGCAGTGCCCTGAGAGGCCTGCAGTGTAGGCAGTAGCTGCTGCTGCGGAACACGAAGCGTCCTCACAGCCCAGGGCTCCAGGGCCTGAGTGGCCGAGGGCAGTGGCCACAGGGAGGTAGGCCCAAGGAGGAGTCACCAGGGCCTGGGCTCCAGAGGTTTCCTGGAAAGCTCAAGGAAGGCACAGGACACATTTCAGGAGATGACTTGGGGCAGAGGAAGCTCCGGTTTCAGACACCTGAAGGACCGTTCCATGAGCCAAAGCAGCCAGGCTTGCCCAGAGTCCCTGGGGACCTGCACCTCGGAGTCAGTTCCACTTGATAAAGGACAAACTTCCCCGCAAGCGGACGGCAGTGTAGCTTTGGAATTAAACAGATCTGGGCCCATCTCTAAGTGGAGCGAGCCAGCTGCCTAACCACTTTGAGCCTCAGTGTGCTCGTCTGTAAAGGTGGGAGTAGTATTCAAAGTATAGGATCCCTAAAAAGATTCAAGATGACAGGTGACCGGTAGGGCTCTCATCTCATGGCATAAAGGGAAGGGACAGTGAATGCTGGTATCAAGCTTTCCCGTAAGGGAGTGAGCGCTCCGCCCACGAAGGTGTGTAAGTGGAGGCTCGGCTCCTGTTAGAGATGTGGCCAAGGACTGCCTGCCTGAATACTGCTTTGAACTATCATAACATTTAAATGCCTGTGTGCTCTTCCCATATGAAGTGATTTTATTTTTTATTTTTATTTTTTTATTTTTTTGAGACAGGGTCTTGCTCTGTCTCCCAAGCTAGAGTGCAGTGGCATCAGCCTAGCGCACAGCAACCTCACACTCCTGGGCTCAAGCGATCCTCCTGCCTCAGCCTCCCAAAGTGCTAGGATTACAAGCGTGAGCCACCATGCCCGGCCACAGGGCGCTTTTTGCCCGCTCTGTCAGGCAGAGCATTTATTAATATTATCTCTATTTTGTGGTGGAGGAAACACGGTTACAGAGGAGCCTAACACTCTTAGCTGGCCAGTGGCACAGGCAGGTCAGAGCCAAGCCCTCCTACCCCATGCCCACCTGCTTTCCAGGGTCTTCTATGGCATTGCTGCCTCCACCACAGCCCAGGAGATTTTGCAGTGCTGGTGTGGGGGCGGTGGGGCTCAGAGTATGGCGGGAGTTGGGGGACGGGCCACTAGGTCTCAAAGAAAACAGTGCAGGCGGGGCTGGCCCCCAGGGAAAGAGCACCACCCTTTCTGTGCTGATTCGGCATAGAGGAAGACTGCAGTGGCCCGTCAGTGTGGGAAACTCCAATTTGGGGGACTTTGCCAGCTTGGCGGGGGACTCACCTACAGAGGGAAGTGGGAGCTAGAATGGGGGTAGAGGAGCGGGGAAAGCAGCTGTGTTCTGATGCCCCCTGGTGGCAGCCTGTGTGGCTTGAAGCCAGTGCGCCAGCCCTGTCCCATCAGGGACCTCCAGGTTCTGTGCAGCTTGAGTCACCCAGGGTGGGGTGCGGGGCTGAGGACCAACCACCACTGACCCTCAGCAAGTTGCCAGCCCAATGCTAAGCACCCGGTCAGTCTTGAAAGAGAAAAAGAGAAACAATAGCTACTGTAGTTGAGCAACTGCTGAAGAGCCCGGGCCTTGAGTGGGTTATCTCACGAAATGTGCGCCGCAGGCCTCTGGGGAGCCCGGTCACTGCCTCCCCTTGTACGACAAAGCAACTGCGTCAGAGAGGTTGCGTCCTCTGAAGTTCATGCGGTTTGGACCCTCAGATCATTACTATTGAAATCATTTTAGGTAGCACCAAACGTTATGAAACAGAAATGAATAAACTGATAACTTTTGGTGCTAAATTAGGACAGTTTGGGGGATAAAGGGAGCAAGAGAGTGACTCCGGAGGTGCCCAGGAGAGCGAAGCTGGTGTCTGTGTCCCCGAGGGCTGGGAGAGAAAAGAGACACCCCCAGAGAGAGTCAAACAGAGGCAGGGCACCCAGGGAAGCGGGGAAAAGAACAGAGGACAGACAGGGAGGAAGGACCGGGAAGCCAAGGACACCTGCTCCTGCTCTTGGGCCACAGGGAGGCCAAGGCAGCCCCAACGTTGCAGAGACCTACCCCGTCGGGCTCCCTCAGTCCTCTTCACCCTGCCGCTGCCCTCTGTGCCCCCCGGCAGCTGACAGCCCTCTCCTTAAAGGCCCCGTGAGGCTGTCTTTTCCCAGGGGCTCCTCCCACCTCCTGCCAGCACCTTCCGTGTCTTGTCTGCAAGCTTCAGGGCTCAGCCAGTTCTCCGCTTTCGTCCCTCCCTCCCTCCATTCCCACGTCCAGCTCCCAGCTCTATCTGCAGGCCTGCCAGCCTCAGACCCCCGCGCCAACCCCCCACAGCCAGCCTCCGTCTCTCCCACGCTGCCGGACCAGCCCTCACCGCCGTGCTCTCCTCAGACTCACCGTGGCCAGGACCAGACCCAGCACCTCCCTGCCACGCAGCAACCTCTTCCCTGGCCCTGCGTTTGTCAACAACCCTGCCACCCTGCCAGCCTGCCAACTCCCCTCCCTGCTTCTGGAATTGTAATCTGAATTTTTCGCCTTCCTCCCTTTCGCACCTCTCTTCCAGTCTGTCACCCGTCAGTCCTCCCCAGAATAACCATACTACCATTTATGGGCTTTCACATACACGAGCTCAGTTTCCCCCACTGAGGTGCGCCTGCTCCTGTGAGCTCGGCACGGCAGCTAAACTGCGAGCGCAACTCGGAACAACAGAGGAGGGCAGGACACACGGCTGTCCCGCATCAGCTCGGACGGCTTTCCTCCGGTGTGCCAGGGCCCCTCGGCCTCCTCCACGTGGCTGCTAGCCAAGGGGTCTGTGGCCTTGGCCTCAGGGAAGCCTGGAGGAGAGACAGATGGGGGCAGATGGGCAGGCAAGGTCACAGCAGCCGTGGCGTAAGCATTGCTCCCTACCACCTTGGCCAGGCAGAAGTGGGCACGAGTGCCCAACAGCCCTGTGGGTGGGGGCTTGGGCTGGAGAGGACTGCAGCCCCACCTGACCGTGATCCCACCTGGGGCTCCTGGACTGCTGCTCAGCGGGCGTAACCGGTGCTGCTGAGACGACAACAGTAGTCATTCATCCATCCACGGATGTTCGCTGAGGGTGAACTCTCCTGGTGCTGGGAATGCCACAGTGAACAAGACAGGCACGGCCCTGCCTTCTCCGAGTTTTACAGGCGAGTGGGATAGACGAGCAAACAGACATATAACTTCCAGTTGTAACAAGAATGGTGAAAGAAGAAAGGGTGCCATGTAGGAGAGAATCTACTTTAAACTGGGTGGTCAGCAAGGCCTCTCTGATGAGGTGACATTTTGCTGAGATCTGTTGGCCGTTCTGCGGGAACAGCATCCCAGCTGGAGGGAAGGCCACAGGCCAAGACTCTAGAGTGGGCCTGAGGAAGAGGTGGAGGCCAGAGCAGCTGGAGCACAGAGGGAGGGCAGGAATGGGGACCCCGGGGATGAGGAGCAGGTTAGGGGGGAGGGGCAGGGCCCTGAAGTTCCCCTCCTTTTATTCGACTTTTTATTTGGAAATAATTTCACATTTACAAAAAGTTGCTCAAACAGAAATAGTGCAAAGAACACTATATATTTTTAACTCAGATTCAGCTATTTGTGCCGTCTACCCCTAGACACACACACCCATGGGTGTTTTTTTCTCTGAACCATTTGAGTATCAGTTACATACATCATGGCCCTCTGCCCTTAAATGCTCCAGTATATTCCCTAGGAATGGGGTATTCTATTCCATAACCACAGTAATCAACTTCATAGATTTACATTGATACAATACTTTAATCTACTGTTTGTATCTGATTTTCTCAGTTGACCCAATAATGACCTTTATAGCACTTCCCCCGTCCCCCAACCCCACCAAATACAGGATCCAGTCTAGAGTGAGGTGTTGAATTTAGTTGGCATATCTTTTAATCTGGAACATTTCAAAGGCCTTTTCTTTGTCTTTTATGTATTGACATTTTTCAAGAATATAGCCTCAGCCCTTTTTTTTAATTTTATTTTATTTCAGCATATTATGGGGGTACAGATGTTTACGTTACGTATGTTGCCCTTGCCCCCTCCTCCCCCCCAGTTCTTTTTAATAGCACGTTCCTCACGTTGTTTGTCTGATGTTTTCTCATGATTAGATCGGGTTATACAATCTTGGCCAGAATACCTTATAGGTGTTATATCCTTTTCAGGGTATCACATGTAGAGGTACACAATGGCCATTTGTCCCTCATGGGTGTTGTTAATTTTGATCACCCAGCCAATATGCTGCTGAATTTCTCCCCTATATAATTACCATTGTTTTCCCTCCCTTGCAACTAATAAGCAGTCCTTAGAGAGACTCTTTAAGACACCGCAAGTGTCCTGCACCTAATCAAAATGTCCCCCTGCATTGAGCATCCACCAATCGAGTCTTTACTGTGAAAATGATGATTTTCTAACTCCAGCGCACCCTCTGCCTTTAACAGTGGAGCCCTCAGCCTTCTCCTGTAAGCAAGAGCCCTCCCTGCTCCCTCCTTTATTTATCCACCTATTTATTATCAGTGTGAACTCATGGGTTCCCTATTTTAAGGGTTTTAATTCATCATGGCACATAATTACTTCGGTGCTCAAACTTGTCTCCAGATTGGCCAGTGGGAGCCCTTCTATCTGGCCCCTGCGTCCCAGGACATCTGCAGATCCTTTCCGTGTATTATTCTGCTGTAACTCTCTTTGATTCTCAGAGCTCTTTGCCTTCTGTTGTTTTCCTGGAGTCTAGAACCGTACCATGTAAATGCTGGGAGGGCGCTTGAGATCTTTCTAATCTGTCCCTTTAGTTTCACTGTTGAGAGAACTGAGGCTCTGAGAGGGGGAAGTGGCTTGCTAAGGCCACACTGTGAGTTAGCAGAAGAGTTGGGTCCGAACTCAGAATTAGGCCACGCCTGAGTAACGATAAATAATGACACCTGCCCATTCCGATCACTAGTGTGGCGCAGACGCTGTACTGGATACAATCTGCGTTTAATCCCTGCACCCTCTGTGGGGTAAGCGTTACAGAGGAAGGTGCCGAGCTCCGAGCATTTTAAGTAACTTTCCCAGAGTCATCCATCCAGGAGATGAAGGAACTGGGGTCCAAAGTCAAGTCTCAGTGATGCTGGGAAGTGTATTTGCTGAAGGTGGTGGATGTGGGACCAAGGCACTCCTTGGTCAGATGAGCACTGGCCGGTAGCAGAGGAATGGGGCCGTGGTGGACAGGGCAAGCCACCATGGCCCCAGAGGATCTGGGCTCTAGACCCTAGACTCTGGGTGCAACTCACGCCTGGCCCCAAATTCAAACGCCTGGCTGCCCACCCCCACCCTGGGCCAGCGGAGCCACCAGGGGAGGAGGGTGGAACAGGAGGGGTCATCTCCCGAGAAGGTGCTCGGGAATCTCTTGTCGCTATAGCCCAGGGGATTAAATGGTCTAAGGTGGAGGCTCACCTCAGGTCCCCCCAGCCCAGCCCCTTCGAGAGGCCCTTATGGCAGGATGTGGGGAGTGGAGATTTTGCCAGAAGAGGAGCCACTCCTCACCGTGCCCAGCCCCAGAGTTCAGATGTGGGGATGGGGGAAGGAGGCTGGGGCGGTGGAGCCCTGCCGGCCAGAGGGGAGAAGGGGCGCTGCCCGCACTGGCCAGACCTAGGGCCTTGGCGGGCCTTGGCGAGGGCTTTGCAGGGGGCACTCTCCCCACAGGCTTCCAGGACGTGCACGTGATGGTGTTCGTGGGCTTCGGCTTCCTCATGACCTTCCTGCAGCGCTACGGCTTCAGCGCCGTGGGCTTCAACTTCCTGCTGGCGGCCTTCGGCATCCAGTGGGCTCTGCTCGTGCAGGGCTGGTTGCACCACGTAGAAGACAGACACATCAGCCTGGGCATCGAGAAGTGAGCGCGGGGCGGGCCCACGGGGGATGGACGGGGCGGGGCCCGGCGGGCGGGCCGGGGAGGGGCGTGCCCGGTGGTGGCAGATCGTGGACTGTACGACTGCTCCCCCTCCAGGCCACATGGGCCTGCCACATACATGCACCTGTGCGCTCACGTGTGTACACACACACATACACAGACACACACACACACACACACACACACACACACACACACACACATGCATACGCACTCACACGGCTTCCTGATCAGCGCCTCTCCAGAGTGGGAGGGAGTTCAAATGGCGCCCAGGTGCCGGGAGGGTCTCCCTACCTCCTACGACAAAGGCTGCCTGGACTTGAGGCCAGACTTTTCTCTGGGGCTGGGCCCAGGCCCTCCGCCCTGACACATCGAAATTACCCAGCCCCGTGCCTTGAGAGACCGCAGCCCGGGAGCCCCGGTGGACACTGGGGAACCCAGCCAGGTGGATGCCCCTCCCTGCCTCGTCCCACTCGCCCCAGGGAACGGGCATTGGAAAGAGCTGTGAGACAGGTGTGTGCCGAGTTTAGGGCTGAAGCCCCCTCCCTACCTCAGCCTCCAAGGGTGGGGCACCCTACCCGCATCTCTTCTCACTGCCATCCTCCTAAGGGCTTTTCTCTGTGATGACCTTTTGGTCCGATGAGTACCACCGGCCCTTCCCATCAGATAACTCAGTCCCTCCCTCTGTGCTGGGGTGACCTCCTGCAAGCCTCAGCACGCTTCCCTGCCCCACAGCACCACCAGCTGGTTATAAAATACATTCGCCCACAGCCAACTTGCCAAAAATCAATGGCAAAGCAGTCAGCTCACTGGATTCACTTGTCGAACTCTCTATCCTGTGGCAACTCATGAACCCTATAGCAATTTGTGTTGCATGGGACTGAATCCAGAGCCTTTGGGAGAATTTTCCTAGTTTCAGCCAAGTTTGGGTTTATGGGAGGTTCTTCAAGTCCAGTTTAGACAGTCTTCTATTTCTGCAGACATGGTTGGGGAGGAAAGTGAAAAAACATTTTTTCTAAATTTGAAAAAAAGAAAAATATTTCTGCAGACCTATGACAAGTTTGGCTAAATAAAATGTTCTCTAATTTGAGAAAGTCATCGCTGGTAGGCGGAAATTAACATTCATTAGCTTGCTCACAAACAGTCCACAGAAAGCGCTGGGAGGCAGACTGCCAGAAAACCACACTTAAAGGGCAAACCCCTGCTGTCTCATGGAGGGCACCAACCAGGCATCACAGGCCAGGTGTCCGAAATTTAAAACACATGCCAAATATTTGCAAAAGAGTAATTTACTCAAGCCAATTAACGAATTCATGAATTAAAAGAAACAGGAAAGATAGTTGACTAGACATGTGTTGGAACGGATAAATCAGTCTTTTTGTGTATAAAATCCTTGACATGCGTATTACCCTGAAGTTCAAAATACACAAGGAGCTCACATTCCCTAAGCCATAGACCCAAAGTATAAAAACACCTCTAATATGTTTCATTGGCCACCCCAGAAAAATAGCTATGGCTAAATGAAAAAAGTATACATTTTTTAAAAAATCTTCAAAGGGAGCAAGTTGGTCACTTGAAACATTGAGTTTTAGCGAACTGGCTTTTGGGAAATTGATTTTCAGCAAATGACCTGGAGCCAGTTTTCTGGTGGTCAGGGCTGGGATGAGACTGTTGTCCCCAGACCTGACCTGTGGACCCAGAGATGTGGACCTGCCTCCTGGCTTCTGTCCTGTCCCTGCTGAAGAGCCCTCCAGGCCTCACCTGTTGATCTAGGGAACTGCTCCTCCGCAAGCCCCGCCCATGCCTCCTCAGGCCTTCCCGAGATGTGGCATCCAGAACTCCATCTCCCAGGTGCTGATGGCCCACGGTGCGGACTTTTCCGTTCTCTCTCTCTCCTCCCTAGCGGTCACTTCCAACAAGATGGGTCTTCTGGCTGCAGTTATGGGACCTTGGGCAAGTAACTCAGCCTCTCTAAGTCTCCGTGTCCCGTCTATATGCTGTGGCTAATGACAGTACCTGTCCTGTACGGTTCAGGTATGGTACCAGAGGGCATGTGCAGTACGTAGCAGATATGCCAGTGCCTAGCACTTAGTAACCACCGTCATTCAGCCAGGCCCTGCCCTGGGCCCTGGAGACACAGTGGTGAGCAAGGCAGTGCTGTGTAGACATTCCAGTGAGCACTCTGTCTCGGAGGGGCCCTGGCCCCATTCCACAGACTGGCTTCCAAATAGCTTACCTCTTGCCCCTCACCTGCTTTTCTCTTTCACACACACATACCCCTGAGCGGAGCAGGGGGGTCTCCTCTAGTCCTGACAGCCTTGAGGAAGTAGCCCCTCCTATCCACACACCCACCCCGTTAACAACTCTCACGCCAGAGAAGGTCTGCCTTGGAACGCTGAAGGCAGCTCTGCTGCGGGCAGGGAGCAAGAAGCCTGGGTCAGGCAGAGTGGACGTGTGGACGGAACCAGGATCTGCCTCGGCCACACAGCACCTCCTCCTGCCCACCTCTTCATCAGCCCCCTCCCTCCACCCAGTCCCACCCCAGCTCCCTACTTCCTACAGGGTGGCTCTCCCTCTTCCCTGGACATAGATCCTCTCTCACAGGTAGGGTGAAGGGAAGGTCCCAGTAGCTCAAACCCAGGCAAGGCCCTGGTGGCCAGCAGGAGAGGTGCGTGCAGAGAGAGAGATAAGGGTCTGGAGGCAGAGACCATGTGTGGTGGGAGGAATCAGGAAGGCTTCCTGAAGGAGGAGGCAGTGAGAGGAGGTTCTGGAAGGGCAGGTGGAAGATAGAGGGCAGGGCAGGGCTTCAAATACGGGGCATGTTCAACAACAGCTGCCAGACCGCATGGGTGCCTTGAGCACACACTGTCTGCCAGGAGTGGGGGCGGAGATGGGCTGCAGTGGAAGGGGCAGCACCTACTGTGTGCCACTGCCGCCCTGGGCACTTCGCTGTATTGTTTCTCTTAGTTCTTAGAGTAGCCCTAAACGTTATGTGCCCATTATTGCAGGTGGCGACACTGAGGCTCAGAAAGGTTAAGCCATAGGCCCAAATCCATAGACGATCAAAGTCCAGTCAAAGTCCAGACCCAAACCCAGGGCTTGGAGTGGCACCTCTTGCTGTCGCCCCAGCCCTCCCTGGCCTGTCTCCCCACAGCCTCATCAACGCCGACTTCTGCGTGGCCTCTGTCTGCGTGGCCTTTGGCGCGGTTCTGGGCAAAGTCAGCCCTGTCCAGCTGCTCATCATGACTTTCTTCCAAGTGACCCTGTTCTCAGTGAATGAGTTCATTCTCCTCCAACTGCTGGAGGTGAGCAGGGCTCAGAACAGGGATCGGGGAGGGGACAACTGGGGGGACGGCAGGGGGATAGAGATAGAGCTGGGAGTCATGTCAGCCTGGCAAGTCACTGAACCTCCTGAACCTCAGTTTCCACATCTGTAAAGTGGGAGTAATGGCATCCACAGGCAGGTGCAGTAGTTCACCCAGTGTATCAGCCCAGTGCCGGGGTAGGGCAGGGGCTCCTTGAATATTGGGGTTTTCCCTCCTTTCTCTTCCCCACACATCAGATGGAAGGAATGGGATGTTCCTGCACATAGTCTTGCACGCATACCACATTTCCAGATTGCTCTGCTAAAGAAAGGACCCAGTGTATTTGCCCTCTAAGGGCAAATCTGTAAGGATGGCTCCCAGGGGAGTGGCCAAGGTGGCATGTACAGCTGCACAGGCTGTGTACTGCACAACTCAAGAGGTGCCATTCGCATAGACTATGGCAGGAATGCTGTCACCTAGGAGTGGTCAATTCAATGGCCCAGGTAAGGGGTACCTTAGATCTCTGACTGTATCTCAGAAACCTCCTTGGTGCCTTTGAGCAGTGGGGGCAGAGGGTGGGTCATTCAGGGAAGCCACACATTTGTTTGCCCCTTCCGCTTCTACATTTGGACTCTGCCTGGAATCCCCCCTCCTGGAGGGTGGGTAGCCACCCTAGATTCAGTCATTCATTTTGCCATTTTTTTCAGCCACCAGACTAGTCCAGGCCACCATATCTCTTCCTCCTGACTCACCTCCCTGGCTTCATCCTTGCCTCACACACCCCTCCAGCCAGTTGCCGCCAGCAGCCAAAGTGGCCTGTAAATGACGCATATCAGGCCATCCCCCTGGTGAAGACCTACCATGGTTGTTACTCTCACTTAGAACAAACCCCAAACTGCGTAAGGCTCGGGTTCCGGCCCCGCCCACTCCGCAGGCGCATGGGCCCCCTCCTCCCATCCTCCTGCGCCCTGGCCTCAGCTTGCTGTCTGCTCCTCGCACATGCCACCTCGGTCCCACCCAAGGCCCTTGCACAGGCTGTCCCCTCTGCCGGCGTGGTCGTCCCCAGTCCTTCTCCTTGCTGAGTCTCGGCACACACGTGCCCTCTGGGCCCTGCCGGACGCCCCCAGGCTGCAGGGCTCCACCTCACTGGCCCAGTCACTCTCTGTCACACCCGCTCACTCTCTGTCACGGTGCCTTGGTTTATTTCTTCTTGGAGACGCTTATCCTTATCTGGTAAGGGCAGGTGCTCCACACGTGTTTGTCAAGTGAATGAATCCGGGAGTCTGACTGCGTGTCAGGGACCGCTCGGGCTCTGGGACAGAGAGGTGAGCAGGGAAGAGGCTCAGAGTCTGGTGAGGACCAGGAAGTGAGCAGGCAGTGACCATGCACTGCGATGCGGGGTGCGCCAAGGGCTGGCTGGCCCCTCGGAGCGCGCCTAAACCAGCCTGGCAGGTCAGGGAGGCTTCCTGGAGGAAGAGAAGTCGAAGCTGGAAGTCAACTAGGAACTCACCAGGCAGAGGGGCACTGGGGGCAGGGGGCACAGCGTCCAAAGGTCTGGTGGCTGACCCACGGTGACGGCTCCCCTGCAGCTCGGTCTGGCTGGACGGGGGCTTGTGCTGGGAGGGGAGTTCGGAAGGGTAACTGGGGCGGGACTCCTGGGGACTGTGTTGAGGCATCTCGGCTACATTATGGGGCAGTGGGGAGCTAAACCGGGAGGTGACATGGGCAGACATGGGTAAAGGAAATGCCACTTTGGCTGTGGCCTGTCGAAGAACATCTGGGAGGCCGGGAGCCCAGTTACCAGGCTTCCCCTGGCCATGCTGGCGAGAGGGGGTGGGGCCGGGACCGGCCTAGTGCAGCGAGGAGAAAGTGGAGGATTCCAGAGCTGGGGCGGCTGCATCACAGGCCTCGGGGAGTGGGCCAGGGGGGAGGCAGAGAAAGGACGAGGCTTGTAGCGGGGGAGGCCGTGGGGCCAGTCGCTGAGTTCTGAGACAGCTGAGAAGGTAGTATCTTGGGGGTAAGTTAAGAGGCAGGGAAAGCTCCTTTGACCCCCAAAACCCTCCCCAATCTGCTATGGAAATTCTCTTAACGAATACCAGTCTCAGCCTCCCTCTGAGACAAGCTTAAACACAATAATCGCTGTTGACATGAAAGGAGTACTTGCCCTCTGCTGGGCCCCGATCTCAATGCCCTGCATGGGTTAACTCTTTAAATCTTCATCTCTGACACAGGCACACTTACTACCCCCATTTTACAGATGAGAAAGCTGAGGCTCAGAGAGGTTAAGGGGCTCACCCAAGGTCACACAGCTAGTAGAGGCACCCACCAGGCTGGGAGTCAGGAAACCCCTGTCAACAACTAGCTGTGTGACCTTGGATCACAAGGGTTTCCCCATCTGGAGTGAAGGAGTGAGTCTGTGATTCTGGTCCCCTGGGGTTGGCTCTGAGTGGGGAGGAAGAGGAGGCTGAAGAGAGGGGAGTTGTGTGGGGGGTGGGAGGGAGGGGGCTGACACCAATCAAGCACCCGTTGAGTGCCAGACCCTTGCCAGGGGCTTCGCACAGGGGTCTGCTCTGGTCCTGAGGACAGCGCTGCTAAGTCGCTCTGCCCCCCACTTTGTAAATGAGGAACCTGAGACCTAAAGCGGTCAAGTGAGAGGTGCAGAGGACAGACGAGGGGGGACCGACTCTGCGTGCTCTGACTTTGGGGGACTGGGGAGGGGAGGGCAGGGCTGGGGTGGGTGGTGGGAGGTCGTCTGGGAGATCGGAGGGCGAGGGTGTGACAGGCTGCAGGGGGGAGGTGGGTAATGGCAGTCTTGAGGGGGCTGTCGAACCAGGAGCAATGGTGTGAAATGAAATGTGGGCAGGGGAGACCAGAGGGAAGAGAGTTCCCAGCCGTTAAGACAAGGCAGAAGCCAGCGGGCGACAGACGAGGTAGAGGGTCGCCCTGGGTTCTAACTCTGCCTCGCCTCCTCCGGCTGTGTGACTGAGCGGGTTTCTCTCCACGCCTGGGTTTCCCCATCCAGGAGCAGTCCCAGCTGTTGGGTGCCCTGGCGTTTTGTTGACAGGCTGACAGACAGGGTTCAGGGATCCCGCCTTCTCCCTCTTAGCAGTGGACTGGTCTGTGGGGGCTCCCAGGCTCCATCCTGCACCCTGAAGAGTCCGAGACAGCTGGAGCTCTGTGTGTGTGTGTGTGTGTGTGTAGGGGTGTGGGGAGAGCTATGGGGAGGGAGGGAGAGAAGGTGCCATATCCTGACAGGCCCTTTGCACCCCAGGTGAAGGATGCAGGGGGCTCCATGACCATCCACACATTTGGCGCCTACTTTGGGCTCACGGTGACCCGGATCCTCTACAGACGCAACCTAGAGCAAACCAAGGAGAGACAGAGTTCTGCGTACCACTCGGATCTCTTTGCCATGATTGGTGAGAGCTGCCATGATGACTGAGGGCCACCATGATTGGTGAAAGGGGCCACGATGGGTGAGGGCCTCCGTGACGAGTTCAGGCCGTCATGATCACACGTGATTCCCACGGGTTCTGGTGGGTGGCTGCCAATTCCCTCTGGGGGAAGGGCAGAGGGAGGTTGCCTGTAGACACTTCAGGATCCCAGATGTCTGTCCCTCCTCCCCATGGGGGTGAAAGAAGTTGGTCACTCATCCTGTGTTTTCCCTAGAATGCCCCAAGGCAGACAAGGTGGCAACTAGAAACTGGTCACTACATCCCGGGGCTGGGGCAAGACGTGCCTTCCTACTTCATCTGTCCACTCATTCCAGAGACCACATATTGACCGTACCCATTCTGGTCTCCTAAAACCCAGCCCTGCCCTCCAGGGGCTCCTCCTAGTGTAGTGGAAGTGACGGCAGTGCCACTCGGATAATCTCCCCAGGAGGGAGAAAAGATTCTCCCTCCTAGAGCCGTGGGAGCAGGGCGGGGGCATTTAGCCCAGCAGTGGGGGGCAGAGTAGACTCCTGGGGCAGCGTGGAAGGCTGAGCAGGAGTTAGGCAGGTGCGTAAGGCGGGGGGGTGCCTTCCGGGAAGAGCCCCTGCATGAGCAAAGCTGCAGAGGTGGGAACAGCTGAGCTGCGGTGGGGCGGGGGGTCAAGTGACATCTCTGGAGCTAAAGGACAGGATCTCTGATTGGGTTCTGCAGGGCCCCATCTAATGCCTCTCCTCCTGGGCGCCTTGGCCCTGTTTGGTCTGACCCAGGCACCCTCTTCCTGTGGATGTACTGGCCCAGCTTCAACTCAGCCATATCCTACCACGGCGATAGCCAGCACCGAGCCGCCATCAACACCTACTGCTCCTTGGCAGCCTGCGTGCTCACCTCGGTGGCGATGTCCAGCGCCCTGCACAAGAAGGGCAAGCTGGACATGGTGAGCAGGGGGGCCCTGGGGGAGGTGCGGCCTGCCTGGGCTGGCAGATGCCGATCACCACGCTGTGCCAACAATTCTGGGAAACAGGCGGCATCAGGATCATCGCACCCGTTTGCAGATGAAGAAACTGGGGCTCGGGGAGAAATGATTCATCCTGAGCACATAGTCAGTTTTCGGCAGAACCCAGAACCAGATTCTCGGAGGTTCGGCTTTGTGGGCTGCTCTAGATGAGCTGGTTCCTCCTCCCCATTGTCCTGCCACAGCCTGGGGTGCTGACGGCTGTTCTGGGGTGACCTGTTCTGCCACAGGGCTGCCCAACAGGGCTGCCAGGCACTTGCTCTGTGCCAGGCTCTGAGCCTCCAGATGCCCCCACCCCCACACACTCAGAGTGGCAGTCCCTTCACTGCTTTGTCCCCTCCACTGGGGAAGATTTGGGGGATGGTGTTGCATAGTATCCTTTGTATCATACCATTGGGACAACCCATAGATTTTGGCAGATTTTTCTATACAGAGAAAAGTAAAGACACTAACTCTCCATCTCATAGTCTGACACAAGCTTCTTGACATGGCATATGTGTGCCGAGACACTGTCAGAAGTCCCTGTTATCGGGGGACGTTGTCACTCTGCAGAGAGGTGGGGACGAGAATCCAGCACGCTGGCGTGGGTGTGCCTGTGTGCGCCCAGACCTACGCAGGCAGCGGCCGGGAACAGGGTCGAGGACAGGGGCTCTGGATCAAGACACCTTTCTGCCTCCTGCTAGCTCTGTGGTCCTCAGCAAGTCAGTCAAGCTCCCTGCAATGTAATTTCCTCATCCGCAAATGTGGAAAGATAGCTGTCCTCACCTCGAGGGCTTAAGGAGACGGGATGAAGTCGCCCCAGCCAGCAGCACGGTGCTGGGTGCAGGTTAGCACTCGGAGAGCACCAGCTGGCGCGTGGGTCTGTCTAGGCCCCACAGGCGCCTGGCGTGGACATGCACGCACGTTGAGAACATTCAGACGTGCGAGTCTAGGCACACAGGTGGATGTGGCACACAGGAGGCGGACACACGATTGCTCTCAGGGCTGACCGGCGTGTGCACACGGAAAACGCCCAGGCCTGCTGGGTGGGGTGAGTGGCGCATGCAGAGAACACAGGGGTGGCTGTGCCAAGCCCAGGCCAAGGCTAGAGCCCTCTGCATGCTCCCAGGGCCCCGGCGGCACTCTCGCACCACGAGTGAGCTCCTCCAGGCCGGCGCTCCAGGGAGAGGACTGAGTCCCTGCCCACTCTGCCCGCCCTTCCCAGGTGCACATCCAGAACGCCACGCTGGCGGGAGGGGTGGCCGTGGGCACAGCTGCTGAGATGATGCTCATGCCCTACGGCGCCCTCATCGTTGGCTTCTTCTGCGGCATCATCTCCACCCTGGGTTTTGTGTACCTGACGGTGAGGCCCTGGGCCAGGGGCTGGGGGGCAAAGAATGCTGGGGTCTTCGTGTTTCTGACAGTGGGGAGGGGGTTCTAGGAACGGGGCTCATGGCTGGAACGTCCTGGGTCTCTGTGTATTGAGGGTTCCACACCCCTGCTGCAGCTTCTGGCCTCAGCAAACCAACCCCCCCTCTGTAGCCATTCCTGGAGTCCCGGCTGCAGATCCAGGACACGTGTGGCATTCACAACCTGCACGGCATTCCCGGCATCTTGGGTGCCATCGTGGGGGCTGTGACGGCAGCCTGTGCCAGCCCTGAAGTGTATGGACAAGAAGGGTAAATGTGGAGGGGCGGGCGGGGCGGAACAACCTCCTTCCCTCTCCACCCCTCCTGCCTGCTGTTCCTCCAGCGTCCAACGCTGTGCCTTTCTCCCCTCCCTCCCCACTCAGACCAGTTGTTTCCTAGGCCTCTCTGCCTCCACAGAGTCTTAGAGACCACCTGCTATGTCCCATGCCCCCCGTGTAGTACACGGGGAGGCTGAGGCCCAAGGTTCGGTGAGCCTTGGTGCTCGCTCACATCTGTGGGTGGCGGCCAGGGGTTACTTGGCCTCTCTGTGGGCCCTGACCCGCCCCTCCTGTCTCCACCCCAGGCTTGCCCATTCCTTTGACTTTCAAGGTTTCAAGAAGGATTGGACCACAAGAAGGCAGGGCAAGTTCCAGGTTTTTGGCCTTTTGGTGAGCCTGGCCATGGCCCTGATGGGCGGCATCATCGTGGGTGAGTGAGAGTGGCTGGGCCAGAGAAGCGGGCGCTGCCATGGGCTCCCTGGGTAGGGGACCCAAGGGCATGTACCAGAGGGCCGCCTGGAGCTGCCAGGAATCCCCCTCTGCACTGCTGCTGTGGGACTGGCAGCTTCGGGCCTCAGCCCAAGGGATTTTCCCAGCTGAGGGAAGGAGCTGGGGCAGGTGGAGAGAAAGTCTTCCCCGACCTCCTGTGACCTCCAACTTTATTTAGGGTTAATTTTGAGATTGCCATTCTGGGGACAAGCTGCTGATGAGAACTGCTTTGATGATGCAGTCTACTGGGAGGTGAGTTCTACGGACGTGTTCCCCGCACAAGGGCAGCCGCCTCTGCGACCCCCCACCACATCAGCGGGGCTGGGCCTGGGAGCCAGAAGTCAGGGTGGGGGACAGAGCCTATGTCATTCTGCTCCTTCAGCCTGTGGGTTGAAGACTCTTCCCTCCCTTCTCCTCCCTCCGCTCTGGGCCCCAGGGCTTGGAGGGGGTGGTGTATACCTGTCATTTTGCACACCCTAGGGGGTGACAGAAATAGCCCACAGTCCAGGCAGCAGCTGAGGGTCACTCCTGTCCCTAAGACCTCAGTCAGCTTTATTCTAGAGCAGGATTCCCATGGTTTGGTCCCCCGTGCTGTCCCACCCAGACCTCCCCAATCCAAGGCGAGGGGGTGGGGCCCAGCACTCTGGTTTAACAAACCTTCCAGGTGATTCTGATGAAAAACCTCTGCGAACCACTGCATTTGATCAGGGGGTTTCAGCCCTCAGATGCACATGGGAATCACCTGGGGAGCTTGAGCGCCTTGCAAAACCCGGGCCTCCCTCAGCCACAGAGACGAGGATTCATTTGGTCTGGGGTAGTGCCTGCATGGTGGAATGTGTTTAAAACTTCCCAGGTGATTCTAATATTCAGCCTGGGTTAGGAATCGCAGCACAGTGCTCAACCAGTCTCCGTAAGAACCACCTGCAGACCTTGTAAAAATGCAGCTTCCCAGGCACCGGTCAAGAGATTCTGATTCAGTAGGGCCTGGAACTCTGCAAGTGACAAGCTCCCAGATGATTCTGATGCAGGAACTGTGTTCTGTGACATTTTACCACTTTCAGCGTCTAGAGGAGCGTCAGTACAAAAACCCAACTTGAGAGATGTTGTTCTAGGAGCTGAAAGGAGTGAAATGTTGCGGAGCTTATTTCCTTTAAAAACATGCCACAATTCGGGCTTTCCGTGACCTCAGGCAGGACTCTCCCCCATGAGTCACTGGAGGTGCAGGATGGCAGAGCTCCCCTCGTGATAAGGGTGAGGACCGGCTTGTTTCTGTGGTCCCAGGGACGAGGGACTGCCTGTAATTGTCTTTCCTTTGACTCTGTATTTTTAAAACCATCCCAGAAGTTTTCAGGGTAATTTTAACTCATATCTACTATAAACCAATTTCACGTACATAACTAATAAGTCTTCCAAATTCACTCTTTTTAAATTTGTTTTCTTAATTTAAAAATGTCTAGAAGTTTATTAAAGAAAGTCTGGAGGCCGGGCGCGGTGGCTCACGCCTGTAATCCTAGCACTCTGGGAGGCCGAGGCGGGCAGATTGTTTGAGCTCAGGAGTTCGAGACCAGCCTGAGCAAGAGCGAGACCCCGTCTCTACTAAAAATAGAAAGAAATTAATCGGACAACTAAAAATATATAGAAAAAATTAGCCGGGCATTGTGGCTCATGCCTGTAGTCCCAGCTACTCGGGAGGCTGAGGCAGGAGGATCGCTTGAGCCCAGGAGTTTGAGGTTGCTGTGAGCTAGGCTGACGCCACGGCACTCTAGCCCGGGCAACACAGTGAGACTCTGTCTCAAAAAAAAAAAGAAAGTCTGGAAATAGAGACAAATAGAAATCCCATCACCCTAATGCAAGCGCTGTTCATCTTTTTGGTATATTTCCTTTCTGTCTTTTTTTCCTCTGCGTAGATTCTTGTTGCCCCGCGGAGAGCACGTTACACACCCTATTCAGTGCCCTGCTCTTTCTCTTGGCCTCTCTATCGCAAACATTGTTCCGTGTTATCACATTCTGAATAAACTTTCTTTTTCCCAGCATAATTATTTTCATTCTGTATTTAAAGTCAGAACTTAAACTATTTTAGACACCACAAGTAGAAACCACACAGATTTCATGCTGATGAAATAAATCGGAATTGTTATCGGTTCCCACACGTAGAAGCTCCCTCTTGGTTCTGTTTTGATCTTTATAATTCATTCCAAGTTCGCACCTCTCAGTTACATAGCTTGCGAGGTACTGTCGTCCGTAGTGTCCTGGGGCGAGGGGGTGGTCTCGGGATCCCCCACAGGGATGCCCGAGTTCCTGACATAAATGGAGCAGTATTTGTATGTGCACGCACCCTCCCATGTACTTTAAATCGTCTCTAGATTACTCGTAATACCTGATACAAAGTGAGTGCTGTTTTGTTTTTTGTTTGTGTTATTTTATTGTTGCTTTTTCTGAATATTTTTGACCCCGGTTCATTGAACTCGTGGATATGGAGGGCCGACTGTACTTGGTTGGCAGAGATAAAATTCCATGCCAGTGGGAGTGAACACCAGCAGGCTGTCCCTGAGGCCCCTAGGTGGTTCACTGGGGAGGCAAGGTGGCTTCCCAGAGGATAGGGATGAGACATGAAGCCAAGCCAGGGCCAAGCCGCCCACCCACACTCCACCTCCCCATCCACTTCTGGCCTCCCCCGCACCTCTCCCTACCCCACTTATGGACCTGTCTGCAGTCGGGGGAGTTTGCCATGCTGCCTCTCAACTGGCATCTGCCCCTCACCTGGCGCACTCCTTCCCAGTTTTCAAAAGTGGGTTCAGCACAACCTCCCAGAATCCCCCCAGGCTGGGTTAAAATCCTCTTGTGTGCATTCACAACTCTCGTTGTCACTATGTGTTTCACTGCAATGCCTCACCATTGCTCTCATGGGGCAACAACGCTGTCTCATCCCTGCCTGGCCCCAGCACCCAGGACAGTGCCTAAGGTGTGGCAGGGGCAGGATACCTGTGGCATGTGATCTGCAAGGTGATCACAAGGTGGCGCTCGCCACACACCATTTGCAGCTCCTGGCTTGCTCAGGCCGTTCTAGTTCCACCACCGACACCCTCCCTGGCCTGGGACAGGGCTCTCAGAGTTGCCTCCTCTTTCTGCAGATACCTCAAGAGAAGAGCACTGTCTACATACCTGAGGACCCCACTCTCAAGCCAGGGGTACACTCAGCACCTCTGGTACCCGTGCTATCCACGGTATCTTCGATACCCGTAGTAGCCTCAGCAATGCCCCTGGTACCCTAAGCTCCCACAGCAGGTGAGAAGTAGGTAAGCCTGGGTTTGGCTTGTCCGTGGGGGATGACAGGCATGTTCTCCCAGTGGGGCCCAGCTCTCAGATGCCAGCAGCAAAAGGTCAAAAAGCAAGCCTGAAGAAATGAGGATATGAGCTTCCAACCCCCTGCCTACGGTGCAGCGAGCATGTTCAGAGTCAGACCACATGCGTGCTGGACACACAGGGAATGAGTGGAAGGCATGGAAGGAGTGCTGGGGGCACACTTGGCTTTGCGACTGTGCTTGCCAGCTGTGTGACTCTGAGAACCTCTTCACCCCAGAGACTGAGCCTCAATTTCCTCATCTACAAAAGTAGAGCTCACAGGTCTGGCTCTATTCAGTTGACCAGTGCACACGAGACCCTCCCTCACTCCCTCCTTCCTTCTTTCCATCAACTAACATTTCTTTGCCTCCTCTGCGGAGTGCACCAAGCCCTTGCCCGTGTCCGTTGCCTCTAACCGTCCCCAGATCTCTACAATGCAGAGGTAGCCACTTCCCCCTTTTTAATAGATGAGGAACTTCAGGCTCAGAGAGGTTCAGGCTCTTCAAGACCACACAGCTGGCAAGTGCAGGAACTGGGGTCTTTGCAGGTCATTGTGATTGTTCTTATTGTTATTCGATCTCCTTGGGGGCCAGAGGTTGGAAATAGCTGGATCTGGAGTGAGAGGCTGAGTGACGTGGCAGGAGAGGATGTTAGAGTTCTAGGGAAGAGGCAAGGTCGTAACCAGTTGCTCCTAATGTCAGCCCCATCCAGAAAAGAAGAAGGTGCCTGAAAGGCTACGGTAGGACCCGGCAGTGACCTGCTGCTCTTGGCTGTCTCCCTGCAGGCTCCGCGGACTGTCTGGGGGCTCCAGAAGATGCTGGCGCTGACCTCGCTGAGGACACAGAGAAGTGAGCGGCACTCCTGCCTGATCGCTTGGCCTTGGGGTGCCTCCTCCTGCTCCCCTTCATCCCAGGGGACCGGCCTAGGAATGGAGAAAGGAGCTGCGGATAAACTGGGCATCCCGGCCAGCCTCTGGCTGCAGAAGGCCTGCCCGTGCCTGGGGTCTTGGTGGCCATATACTCAGAAAAGCAGGCCCAGAGTGGGCTGGGGCCTGGGGCAGGCCTGAGCCCCCCGGGAGACAACTCAGCTGCCAGCCACCACCTATTAGACTCTTCCACCCCTGCCTGCCCCTCAGCCAGCACCTCCCATGCTCCCTGGGTCCCCCAGATCCCTCTGTGCCATGTAGGCGGCAGCCTCCATGAATAAACATTCCTGACGTTCTTTATAGAAAGGGTGTGAATGCTCCAGTGGGGCCATTTGGAGGGAGAAAAGGACCCAAGGGACCCAGCCTCTAGCTCCGACCCTTGCCCTTACCCAAGGTGCCACCCACACTGCAAGGGAAACCACCCCAGCTGAAGAGGCAGAATTTAGGATGCTGGAGACTGCTTCCAGCCTGGCTCGCCCGGCAGGGCTCAGCTCTGGGCTAGGGTCCTTCCTCAAGGTCCCTCCCTACCCCACATCAACTATTCCAGAAACCCGCCCCTTGAGAAAGCTGACATCCCTGCCGTGCCCTCCACTCGGGTCTGCTCTGGGCACTCTGGTAGGGTGGGGGAGTAGGGAGGGAGGGCTCCTTTGGGCCCATCTCCCCTTCCTTACCCCTTCCCTCCTTCCTCTGCTAAGCCAGCCCTGTTCTCCCCGTGCAGTGGGGGAAGGTTCCAAGAGTTTAGATCTCCCAGGCCCACCACCACCCTGGGCAGAGTAACACACAGTTCCTGCCCTCAGGGGGCTCACAGTCTAGCTGGGGGACAGACCTGATACAACCTGAACTATGACAGGTGGGGCTTAGAGAAGCAGTGCGGGCCACCTGAGCAGGGTTCTGGAGGCTGAATAGGAGTTTACCAAGAGGATGGCAAGGAAGAGCATGGGCACAGACCCAAGGGCAAGAATCAACACGTGAGGTTTGGTATGGC